TATTACTCTGTGAGTGTCGACTTGCTGTGTACCTGACAGCCTGACACACTGGTTGTGTTTGTAGTTTATAAGATGTTATTTAGTGTTGGCGACTGGCTGGTGTTGGCCGATTTCTTTTATAGAACCTTATCTTTGTATTTTATATTCTTTCATATGACGTGTATTTTGATAGTACTTATGTCAGGGCAAGTCGCGAATAAACTGTTAACTTGAGAAGACCGTGTTTTTCATCATATGCCAAGTCTACCACATCATACAGTCCACACACATCGCACATAGTTATCATCCAGCTCGCACGTAGTTATCATTTAGAGATGGCATTTGTTCTAAAGTTAATTGGAATGACTGAGTATACCTATTATTAAAATCATACAAAGTATTTTCTTTAATAAAGTTGTTAAAATAATGTAATGTATGCATTTTGTTGGCGTACCATAACAAAATAAAAATACAAACAAACAAACAAACAAAATCGTTTATTCAGTACAGAACACGGATACAGATAAAATTGTTATAGTTAAATCTTACAAAGTGACTGATACCACTCCGTATCCACGGCTGCGCTGAAAAGGGCCCAGTTCAGCATAATGTCAGTGCTGTATGCACTGGCGCTGGTTTTCAACTGGGTCCTTTATCTGACAAGTGGATGCTAAACACTAACGATTTTTATATGTGTATAATTATATTATAAATATTTTTATGGTCACCCAACCAATGATCGACTTTTGCAAAAGTCACTTAAGTTTAACGATCACAGGCCGAAAGCACTAACCACCTGCGCCATCGAGCTCCTCCTTCACACCCATGAATAATGTGAATTAAAAAAAAAACAGTGATTTCTTTATATACTAACACTAGACCTAAGAAATATTGTTACTAACACAATGGACAATAATATATATACTGTAATATGGAGAATATAACCTTTGAAATAAATGATGATTGTAATTATTTGTTTCTTAGGTTTTCACGCATATCACTCATTAAATGAAACTAGTTTTAACGGGTTAATACACGAAAGTTTATTTATTTATTGACGTTAGTTGTAATTATTATTATTAAACAAAACAGCGCGCGCTTGAAACGTTGCAATGCAACTAAACGACATAAACTTGAACTTCGCAAAAAGTTGCGTCGCGTCGCGTGCGTAGCGCAGCTGGCGGGCCATTGTTTCCGTACGATAGTGTGTTAATTGCCATCGCTTTGCGATAGCGCCTTGACCCAAATATACAATTGACAGATACAAAATGTTAAGCGGCTACCATAGCCTATTGCTGCTTGCAATACCAAAACGCTCGCTACGTTGTCTACCCTGAGCCAATCCTCTACCCCGAGGAGCCCTGGAACCTTTCTAACCAACAGCAATAGAACACCACCCAAAGGTAGTGTTATTTTACTGTGGCCTTCTGAACAGTGGGTGTCCGACGAGCGCACCAATTCTACCCCTACCGCGTGGAATTCTGGAACCTTACTCGCCCACAGAAACACAAAACCACCAAAATTAGTGTTATTGTACTGTGCTCTTCTGTAAAATGGAGCTTTCTTCCCCAGACGGGCGCTCCAATACGAGCGAAAATTCGCTACGGCCTTTCTTTCCAAACGCATGTACGCATGGACGAAATAATAAAAGACTGACAACTGACAAGGCAGTTTCGTAAACTTTGAAGGCCATAGGCTGGTAAGCTTTCACTACATTTCCGGATAATGTCATAGTTCCGAACAATACCAGTATTCCATACCTTATGAGGATGTGAGAGTGGTTTTTGAACTAGTCTTTAGCTAGTCAACTGGTCCTGTCTTTTTTTACCATTGTTTGGAGTTAACTTTTTCAACCCATATTTTATTTATTTATTTAAACTTTATTGACCAAAATATATAAGAATGCTGCAAAAGGAGGAGTAATTGCAAAAAGCATTCTCTCCCAGAAAACCTTTGGGAAAATAAAAAATAAAACGAACGGCGGTATAAAGCTAAATACGAATATATATACAAATTAACATAGATACATATATAAATACATACTATAAAAGGAATATAATACATACAAAAATAACACATTTAATATAAATATAAATACAGTATATATTTTATTTTATGACTGATATTTATGTTTTCAAGGATGTTGAATCCGAATATGAGATCAGAGTTTAATTTGATCAGCGAATATAATATTATGTGCAAAAATACCCGATTTCAGGTTTTATTTTTTGTGTGAAACATTAGAAATTAAATAATAATTTTATTCTGTTTTTAGTGTTTGTTTTTATAGCGGCAATAGGAATTCATGGTCTGTGAAAATTAATTAAATATCACGTTTGTAGAGATAGAGCGGAATAACAGACAGACAGAGGGACTGTGAAGTCTTAGTTATAGGGTCCTGTTTTACCCTTTGGGTATGGAACCCTAAAATTGGTTTTTATTGTAACTTATTATATGTGTATGTAAGAGTTATTAATAGAAGGCAAATCTCCTACCTTGGTTAATGTTTTGATGTATCACAAAATCTCTTAGAAAGTTTTTATGCGGGCTCTCATGTTATAATGAAGTACTTGAATCTTTTAATATGTTTATTATCTTACAAATATTAATAAAATTGGGAACGATTGTTTCCGACTGGTCTTCTACCTGTAATTGGTCCTTCATGGGATTGCAAGAACATTTTTTAAAAGGTATTTAAAATAAATGGTTTTGTAGGAAAGCCAAAGGGGAAGATCTTCCTCCGAGCTGGGTGATGGTAGCTCGGAGCCCGCGGCCCGATTGATGTTGGTCGGGCATCGTATATATAGTGTTTGGCTCCGAATTACTCTTGCGCGATGTAGGCTTCCATACGTTGTGTACGCAGCGCCGGTAGCGCCATCTCATAAGGAGGCGAGTGACTATTTCCTCTATGTTCATTATATGTGGGGCATGTAGATGTCGCCGCCACAGTTTGATAATTTCGAATACAGTGAAGTGAACTGTTTTATAAACAATCATTTGTTAATAATTCGCCATTTTCGGGTGACTCTGTGTTTTTTATAAGTGTCATTATTTTTAATGTACAATGTAAAAGAAAATTAAGTCTACACCGTTAATATTTAAACTTGTTACGGGACCCATACCCATGACTACTTGTCAGAATAATCAACGCCATAACAGTAATTAGGTATCTACTTAATTATGGCTTATGTTGAGGCTAATGAGTAAAAACACATGAATACTCTCCATATATTACTATTATGTTATAATATATCTTTTTTAATTTCAAAGCTATGGATGAGTTTAGGTATAATCTGGGCATCATTATCTCCTATCTATTTCTTTGTGTTACTATGTCATTATTATTTTTAAATGTTAAAGATTGCGTGATGAAGGTTTGGATAAAATTGTCATATTCAATACGCTACACGCTATTATAGTAATACTAGCAAACCAGTGAACCAAATGTTCACCAAAAACCAAAACCTGATTTAAAAAAAAAATGTATTTTATTAATTGAGAACTTCGGAGATTTTGTTTGGTTTCGTTTGAAATTCGTGATTTCTCGAAAACCGGAAGTGCTACGTTGCTCAACTCCGGTTTGTAGTCTTATCAGACTATTCTTAACTTATAACTTAAATATTCTCTTTATCTATCTCTTACGGTTTGGCCGCTGAAACAGCACCACAGACGGACGGACTTGTTTAATAGATAAGAGATAAATTATTTACGGGATTATTACCATGTACCTTGTTTTAGCGAGTTTCCGATATTTCGGCACTGTTGCAAGCGCCATGATCACGTAGTAACAGCTACTCGTTAAAAACAAGGTACATGGTAACAATCCCGTAAATAATTTATATTACTATAATGTTAGTGACCATGAATGTTTAAAACAAAAAAAGCTAAATGCTATTCCGCAATAAGTTTAGAATACAAAAGAATCTCCTACTTGACGAGTCCAGAATATATTAAAAAACCACGATGCAAGTAAACCTTTTAATATCATTAATGAAAAAATATCTTTCCTAGGCTGGGAATAGAACTTAGCCCGCCGGCATGTGTATCAGGTAAGCTTTCTACCGCTAAACCACTGACGCTTGTTGAGAATTTCAGATATTTTTTAATAAAAATGTAATACACGTACTAAAGATGACCGTAAATATTCATTATCATCATCAGCCTCTCCTTCCTCCTGCTGGGGCAGAGGCCTTCCCTATGGAGGGAATAGGGAGATTGGGTCATGACCCATCACGCGGGCCCAGTGCGGATTGGTGGGTGCTAACGGCTGCAGATACAGCCAAGACCAACGGCTTAACATGCCTTCCGAAGCACGGAGGAACTCGAGATAGAAGATTTTTGGTCACCCATCCAATGACCGACCACTGCGAAAGTTGCTTAACCTCAACTATTGCAGCCGTACACGCTAAACACCCGCGCCATCGAGCTCTTCATCGAATGTCAATATTAGTGTCGATGTAATGAAAGTTTCACTTCAAAAAGTATGTGAAGTTCACGCGGAAGGAGTCAGAATCGAGTACCTCCTTGTATACATTTCCGGACACATCTATCGGTCTACCTAGTATTTTAAATTTTGATGGTCCTTATCTAAGAATAAATGTTACATTAAACAAGCAAAGAGATTTATTTACCAACGCAGTTTTGAAACAATTTTTTTTTAATTTGTTTCGTGTTTTTAAAATTTTTGCTTCACCTTGAACATATATTCTTTGCCCGCGCACGTGTTCCCTCCTTCCTACAATCTGGGTTCCTTTAAGAGATGCGTGAAGAAGCATTTTTGCAGGCCGGCAAGGTGAGGATGGTTGGTGTAGCAGTTTATAACTGCTGTACCAGCTATCTTCGCGTTTGCACTTTATCACCACTTAACATCAGGTGAGGTAGAATCATTTGCCTACCTGGCTGTATATAAAAAAAAAATGTTTGCTATAGACCGTTAAAACTTATAATGTTAAGTGAGCCGATAAATGTGTCTGGAAGTACACATATATAAGTATAAAGTGATGAATAGATTTCCTTCTTACCTGAAACTCTCTCAGCCAACATCCAATACTTGTTTATGATCGTAGTCCAGTTGCTGTCCGAGTAATAGTCGTCTATAGCGATCTTCACGAAGCCCGACATGTTGCTAGAGTCCCGTACTCACTACACTTATAGTTTGTCAATCACTACACTCTCACTTCACACTATTAACAAACGTTAATAATTCTAAAGTCACTTAGCGACGCGGCGGCACACAATTCGAAACTGTCACCTGAAATAGAAAAACATATGGTTAAGTTTTTATTAATCAATTGAATGACAATATAGAAAGTTCAACACATCATAAAATAAAACACAACGCCACTTATTGCGCGGAACGAAAGTTTTCTGCCTTTATAAATATTAAAGTACGTAAAGCTTTTTTTTCGTTATATTTTTTTGAACGGATTTTTGATATATCACTACCGAATTCTATAGTTCGACAGCACGGTCATATTTCCGAGCAGGAAATAAACTCGGCCGTGGATCTTAAGCGCGCGCGCATCCCATTTCTACGAACGAAAGCGAAAACCTGAAGCGAGCTTGTGCGAAAGTGCGCGCGGACCGCTCGTCCGACCGCAATTGAAAATCGCGCGCGACACAGCCAATCAGAAGCCTTCTTTCTCCCACACGACTACAAGGACGTAACCTCCGCTCTTGCGTCACTAAAAACTAAACTTTAGAGCTAATAGAAATAAGATTGTTATCGCCCGTGTTAACATACTGGACCCATTTGACCGATGCAAAGTCCGGGGACGTTTTCCATCTATGAACACACTTTTATGAGTTATCAGAATTGCACAATTTTCGAACGGGAAGTTATTAAATTAATAAGTAATTTTATTAAACTAGTTTGTAAGTTACTTGAAGAAACTAGAAATTGGAACTTCTCCTTTAAGTTAAACATTCATTCTAATATTTTTTACTGTCGAGAGTTTTATTAGAAAACTTGCTTACAATATTATCACGTTTTAAAATTTAACAATAAAGACATTATTATTGTAGGTATATAATTGTTGTATACAAACAATAAAATTCAAGAACAAAGTAGTTTTAAAGATAAAACTTTGCGTTCATCTTACGTTGTGCAACACAGAATCTTTGTGTCTTAATATTGAGTGCCGAAACTATGCACCGGTTCACATGAGATTGCCTTTTGCAACTTATCCCCGGACCTTCGGACAGCCTTGCGCTTCTAATATTCGTCTTATTACAATAACAATCATGCCTTGGCCGTGTTTGAGAATGTCATAATGTAATTATTTTCGGATAATAAATATCACGACATTAAATTGTAGAAAAGAATAAAGACATACTAGTTTAACATCAACATTATGTTTGACATTTGATTTTGTGTCAATGATTTTTAAAAGATATTTCAGATTGATATCTCTTGTAAAAGTCGAGAGCTGTATTGTTGGATTACTAAGAGTATATTACTTTTTAATGTGACTAAATAAAAAAAATACATAAAGCAATGAATTGCTTTTAAGATTATGGTTAGGTATTTCATTATCAGTAAAATGTAAAAAGCGACAAACAATCAAAGCGAATGTTTTCGATTAAATTAAACATTTTAATTATTAAAACAATAAATACTCATTAAGATTATTGAGATAAAACTATTGAAAATAAAACTTCTTATATTGCACTATTTGAATGTAGTATATTCCAGTATTTTTGTACGTGTATAATAAAAAGAAGAAATCTTTTCAGTAGCTAGGGAGAAATATTTAGATGAGTCCTGCTAGTAAATACCGTGTGAGTTATGTCGGTTATGATAGTGCCACACAACTCTGACAGAGGGCGCTCTATGAGGCTTTCACCGCCTCTCTGAGGCTTGAACTTGTGCTCGTTTCTTATTCAGAGTCAATGCCAGGAAGTTGCTTCAGGCCTATCACACAATTATTTATTATTTAATATATCAATATCATTTCGAGGCGTAACTATTTCGTTAGTTTCCGTTTCATAACTGTGTTTAACTAACTAATAATTGAATAAAAAAAATGTTTTTTATCTTGGATAAATAATCCTTACAATATTGTTAAGAAAATCGTTTAATATAGGGTAGGCAAACATATTTTTAGAGTTTTTTCTATGATTATAGTTCATATGGAGAAGGGAAGGAGCGCTAAAACGCATTAATCTATCTCTCTAATATATAAAATTCTCGTGTCACGGTATGCGTAATTGAACTACTCCGAAACGGCTCAACCGATTTTCGTGAAATTTTATATACATATTCAGCAGATCTGAGAATTGGACAGCGTCTATTTTTCATCCCACTAAATGTTAAGGGTGTCGACATACAAAAATACATACAACCCTAAATTTTCACCCTTCTACCATCAACCCCTATTATTTTATGGCGGTACAAAGTTTGCTGGGACAGCTAGTATTATTATACAATTTATCATTACAGATGCAATGACGACCTCCGCAGTCGAGTGGTTTGAACGCCGGATTCCATGGTGTCGCCGCCTCGAGAGGTCCCGGGTTTGAATCCCGGTGGGGGCAGATGTTTGTGTGATGAATACGAGCATTTGTACTCCAGTCATGGATGTTTGATATGTATTTCTATATAAGTATAATTATATAGGTACTGTATATGTATTCTATCCGTTACCCTAGCATACCATAACACAAGCCTTACAGTGCTTACTTTGGGGCTAGAGGCTAATTGGTGTGAGTGTTGGAAATATTTATATTTTTTATTTAATGGGCCTTAAGTTATCATGCTGCTCTTTTAAAACTATATTTCACAGCAGACTTTTCTTTTTAGGGTTCTGTACCCAAAGGGTATAAACTCGTCCTATTACTAAGATTCAACTGTCCGTCTGTGAATTTGTCTGTCACCAGGCCGTATCTCACTAAATACAGAATAAAATGAATATTTTAGGGGGGGGCTCCCATTCAAAAAACGTAAATATACATATATATATTCACATCGATAAGGAATCCTTTTACTGGCTATAGAACTTCCATTTTTTATATGCCTGGGAAATTCCTTACGCATCCTTCAACCACCGGGGGAGCGAGAAGAAGCTGTCTGCTACTTCCATCCTAGACGATCATTTTAGGTTTTTCATAATACTTTTGTAAGTTTCTCTGTTCTACTCTGAATCCGATCTCAGCCCCGTCAGGATTATGTATATTTTTACAATATAACTGAATCTTGAATTGCACTCATTGTATTGCGCAGGAAATGCCACGCTATTTTAAAATTTAAAATTTTCCCTAATTTGTAACGTTAATATGTTGTCAAATATAAACCACTAACTTTTTATTTTTTAAATTAAAAGAGTAAACAGATTGATGAAAAAGCAGATTTGGTAAAAATTTGCTGCCTGAATTATTAAGTCCACGCGGACAAAGTTGCGGGCAAAAGCACGTATTGCAATAATATAAGAGAAACAATTATAGTTTGAAGAGTGGTTTCGACACAAACGCGCAAAGACGATGCAACTTCCGACACATAAAAAAGTAATATTAATTAAATAAGAATTTACGCACCGCTGGGACCTTAACCCACTTGTGGGCTTATAGTACGACCTTGGAACGGTCGCCGCGAAATATATTTACTTATTACTGACTAGACATTTCCCAACTTGTTGGGAAAGCTGACCTTGCAGCCTGCGAATTATGGATATTTGTCGATGAAATTATATTTGATATGTGATGGCTTCGAAAAAGTTATTGGTGTTGTGTAAAACTTTGACATTTGTCGCAAGTTATGGGAAGTGTGAATTTTATATCAATTCGATAATAGTTAATTTATGTCTGTTCAGAGTTTCTCTCTCTCCCACACGATGGACCCAGCACTCGCACGGTGAATAAATGGATTGCTAAGAAGTACGTCTATTTTTCTCATATTTATCATTGAGATAAATATCATCTGGACACTTAGCTTGCTAGCACTATACGTACCAGCAAGATCTGAAACGAACTTCCCTCAGCAGTTTTCCCTCTGCATATGCTAACGGTTTTTAAAAAGGCCAGTAAACCTTCGCTTCTGATTCCTCCCACACAGGACACAAACACCAATACTACGCAGCTAGCAAAGTTTGCTAGCTGCGTTGCGCACACTAGCTTAGCATTAGGCAGACACCGCACCCGTAGTATAAGAGTGCGAAGACCCGGTCTACACACGACATGCTATACCAGGTACGTACCTAGGCGTTTTTTCCCGCCCCCACGACAACGGCTAACTAGAGCCGAGGTCTGTGTCTCAGAGCCGCCCTCTAGTTGAGCCGACTACCTCAGGTTCAAGTGGTCTAGAGGCTCCAAACGTAAGGAGACCCCCCGTGGGGAGATGCCATCCGCCTGGAAAACCTCTAGAGGCACTCGCCAATTCTCGGCTTGAGGTCCCCTTAGGATCTCGCCGTCCCCAAACCCGGTGACGTAAAGATCATCTGCGACCAACACTAAAAAAAAACCTTTTCCTTCAGAGCCGGCACCGTATGAGTGGTACCCTTGGTGCTACAAGTGTCTATGGGCGGCAAACGAGCTGTCAGGTGGACTGACAGATCGTTTGCTTGCATAAACATCAAAAAATAACGCGGCGGAAAGTTTTCTACTCCAGCAATCGTCACCTTGCCGGCTTGAACCCAACACCCTACGAGCTTTTTCTCAAAGTCCAGTAAGACACCTAGTGTTACTAAGAGTAATTACATCATGCACTAATTAGGAACAATCTTATTTCTATAGTATAAGAACATTCAACTGTCGTTATCAGGCTGGAATCAATCCGTTTTCTTTCTTTGAACATTGTGCTATCGAGACTGCTCTCTGGTATACAAAAAATAAAATATATATATATATAAAACTCAAAGGTGACTGACTGACATAGTGATCTATCACACACAGCCCAAACCACTGGATGGATCAAGCTGAAATTTGGCATGCAGGTAGATGTTATGACGTAGGCATCCGCTAAGAAAGGATTTTGATCAATTCTACCCCCAAGGGGATAAAATAGGGTATGAAACTTTGTCAATTTAAAACCGATCGGGCTGAGACTTTGCATGCAGGTATAAGAAGAATCAAAGATGAATGTCATTGTGTATAATACAAGCCTGAGAACAAAAACTGTAGTCTACACCTCAGCTCTACACCGAAGCGAAGCGAGGGCGGGCGGGCCGCTAGTTATAAATATGAGAGTTTGTATGTATGTATGTTATGTTTGTTCCTCAATCACGTAAAAACTATTGAATGGATTTGAAAGAAATTTGTTACGCTTATAGTTTATGAGTTGGATTGTGACATAGGATTCTTTTTATCCCGGAAAAATGACAGGTTCCTGTGGGATTATGAAAAAATAAAAGTGATCATGGACGTAGTCACAGCAAGCCGCTAGTATGTAATAAAGCATTAAACATAAAATTATGACTGTCAATCTATTCGAGTTCTTTCATTTATTAAACTCCATAAAATGAGTGATTGATCACGAAGCCTTTGTACATTAGTCCGGTGGACATTACGAAACTCGCGATTAATGTCCAGATACATACTCGTAGATCGATCTCAATACCGATGAATGAGACTTATTATAATGGTTCACCCACACCTGTGTGAC